CTCCAGATGCCCTCACCACGAAGTCTGGTTCAGATGTGCTGTGCGTCTGGGGTTGCCTGCATTTCTGTTCCCTCTTCTAAGGAGCTAACTCTGTGTATTTCTTAGATTTTTGTGAGGGCAGGGGAGAAACTTCTTTTTAACTGCATGAACATAGCCCCTTGCCAAGTCTTCCTTGTATGCCTGAGCTTACTGAAGAGATGGTTTCCTGACATGTTGAGAATTAGAAGGATCACTGAGAGAGAGCAGGAGAAGTGGGGTACACCCCAGCAGAGAAGGGGTCTCAGGCCAGTGGCAGGTCTGCTAGTGGGGGCTGTGAAGGTTGCGGACCTCTGCCTTGGTGTCCACTGGGGAAGGAACTGGACATCCTAGAGGAGTGGCTACACTGTGCCCTGAAAGGACACTCCAGGCCCTGTCCCCAGCTCAGCCCATCTGGGCAGAGAGATTCCTGGGCCCCACAGAAGCAGAGGTCTTTGGGCGCTAGACAAGGAGGGGCTAAACATGGACTAAACTTGAGTGGTCCTTCCTTACCCTGCCTTCTGGCCTCTAGGGAGCAAGTACTCAGGACTCCTGCATGATCGTGGGGACAGAGAATGACCTTGATATATGAGGACATTAAATTCACGGCCAGCCATTCAGGAAGGGGCTCCAAGTTGGATTTAAGTTGGTTTAAAATTAAACAACAACAACAACAAAGACCCTTTTTGTCTACATGGAGGTGCAAAGGAAGACTCACCTCCTGCTGACTGGACACTCTGAGGACTGTACAGGTGAGCCCCAAGCCAGGTCACTGTGAATACAGTGAAGGGGAGATCGCTTTCTAGCCCGACAGGCAGTTTACCCAGAAGGAGCTGAGCAGAAACTGGCTCTGCAGACTGCATAGGTTGACTGTGACATTCAGGCTGTATTCACAATCACGCACCCCCTTGCTTATGAGGAGTGTGACTGTCAGTTTCTTGAAGCATAAGCCCGCTGGTCCCCACCATGTTCAGCCTCTCTACGCAGCGTCCTCTCTGTTCAGGGGTGGCTCCCATCTGTAAACACTATCTCTATCCCTTTCCTAGAAAAGGCCTGTGAACCCCCAGCCTGTGGTTGTTCCCATAGGAATCAGTGAAATCAGGAAAAAAAGAACCAGAAGTTGAAGGCAGAAAATTCACAGTCCAGTTTTGCCCCTATCATCAGAACTGGGAAAAAATCGGCTTCTTTGTTCCCCCACAGCAAAAAAGATGCAATAGCATCTTCCACAAAGCAATGCCAGGTAAGCGCTAGGATGCACTGTGCGTGTGTGTTCTGAAGTGCAAGGGACTCCCTTTCCCCCTTTTTCCTGGACCTGCTTTCCCTTAGGGAAAAGTACCTGGACCTCCAGAGAGGGGAGTTTTGTTCTAATTTAGAAACACATAGGCCAGAACTTTGGCTCTGATACCTCCAACGGACATGAGAATAAGCAGGCTCTGTTAAATAAAAAGCTTTATGCACCCCTTAAATCTACCTGCGTTCCACAGAAGCTGACTCAGAGAGGCTAAGGCCAGGCGCTCTGGGTGCCACCAAGCTGTCGATCTGTATGCATAGGACAGCAAAAAAGGAGACAGCAGGCTTGGTTGTGGTTCTGGTGTTTTCTCATACTGGCTGTCATTTTGCCACAGGCAAGTTTCTCATCATGGAATAAACAAAGGGAGCAGAATGAAAACCATGAAGAGTACTTCCAAGTGCAAATTCTCAGTTTCCGGCAGTACACAGGGAGCTAAGGCCATCCTAACCACCCTCCAGCGTGGTCTGTCCCTGTGTGTGAGTGGGGAAGGGATGCAGTGCTGAGCAGAGCTCCTCCCAGCCTCATCTGGCTCCTCGGGGCCTTTCAGCACTAGCCACTCTTCAGGGCCACCACCATTTTCAGTCCACACAGCCGGGGCACACAATGCCCATGGAGTGCTGGGATGCCCACTTGGCCCCACTCTGCCCTGGCCCACCTGGGGAGCCCCGGTGAGCTCATGTCTGCAGTAACCTCACTGCTCATAACCGGGATGATGAGACAAACCTGGAAGCCAGGTACAGGTGAGAAGTGATGGCTGTCTCCCCAGGAATGTGCTGCCCAATTAAAACTGCCTTCCAGATGGCTCCAGCGGATGCTGGGACTACTGCTCTGGGCCAAGCTGGCCAGCTTCCCGACTGAATGGTTCCGCAAGCATCCACTGAAGGCCTACTGTGCTCCTGGCAGCAAGCTAGTACTGGAACGACAGAGAGCACTAAAAGCTGCATTGGAGAGCACAATCTATCAGTTATAGACATGCTTTCAGAAGCAGACTGCCAGAGAACCTCAAGGTTCTGTTGGCGACACCCCCGACTGCCCTTTCCCATGCCCCACCAGCCCCATGCCCTGCCTCTTCCTGACCACACACACCAAACCCCTCTGAAAGCGTCCCCAGGCCAGTCTTCTTCTTGGTTGCCCCTCCTCTCCAGCTGGTGGATCAGGCTGCCTCCTTCTGTCCCCCGCCTCTGGGGCAGCTTCGCAACCCACCATGTACATGTGCAGAGCTGACGTTAGGCATGCTGGATCCCATTCCTGGGATGGAATATGGCAGGGGCCACAGAGGGGAGCAGCACCTGTATTAGAGGATGGGGTCTCAGCAGACACATTCTTCAGGTGCATTATCTGCCTCAGGCAAGTTACCAATAAACATTAACTTTGAAGCCAGACCTCACCAGGTCAGGGTCTTCCTGTCTCGAAAAGGAAGTGCCCCAAAGGCTGAAGATGGAAAGGATTGAAACTACAGTGTGGTCTGATCTACATGGCACATGGTTAAAGCCATGAGTCAGCTTGTATAAAGTGCCGTCTTAGCTCTCTACAGCTCTGTGCATTTGATGGGATTGTATTCTGATGTCAGGCTCCAAATAAACAGGCTTTTACCATCTTGGAGTATTATTTTTCTCATCAAATGAGAACTTAGAAGGTGGGCAGTCCAGGGCCTGATCATGTCTCCAACTGCTCAGGGCCTAGGCTCCTTTTACTTTCTACCCAGCCTTGCTTCCATGTATTTCTTGCCTCGTGGCTACAAAATGGCTGCTCTACTCCACCATGAAATCTGAATTCCAAACGGCAGGAAGATGGACAAAGGACCAGATGAATCTCCATCCTTATTAAGCAACTTTCCCAGAAGTCTCACACTACTTCTCATTAGTCAGAGCAATGGCACACGGTCGCCTCTCTCTGCAAAAGATGCTGGGAATATACTTCTAATTGAGCATTTGCTTTGCCCCAACAGCATCAGATTTGTTTAAATGAGGAATATAAACCGGACATTGAACTTGGTATTTCAGGAAGAATGTGCTGAGCAGAGCCAAAAATGGAAGAAGGGGAACAAGGACTCCTGGTGGCTTCGGACTCAAAGCTCAGTGTGCTGGCAGTGGCTGGCGGTCAGGCAGGTCACAAGACTGCAGCAGCAGCACCAGGGTTCTCTGCAGTAGCAGGAGGAGAACACAGAGGCGGCAGAAACTGTCACCAGCCAGTGTGAATTCTTAGCCTCATGTAAGTCAGAAATCAGACATAAGTTAATCGTGAGCCTGCTGACAGCAGCCACTGCCTTTTTGCTCTGGGCCCCCTGGAGGGCAGGGTCCCTGTGCATGTTTCCAGGATGTCACCAGTTAACTAGGGGTTTCTGCTCAATTCATATAGAAGTCACTAACTGGCAAAATGTGGCTCTTTTAGTGTTAACATCCCTGAGCTTTGAATGCCAGAAGCTATCAGTTCTTTTGGTGTTAGTGGCCTCCTTGCTGTTCAGAGCTGGCAGGCCTTGGGAACTCTCTTGGCTTCGGAGATAGAAAGTCTCCGTTATTTTTCATTGCTCTTTGCTGCTCCCTGGCTGCCAGCTGTCTTCCATATTACCAGTCCTGGCCATGGCCACTGTTAATGCCAGAGATCCTTGGTGTTACTGGAAACAGCAGTCATGAATAGACAGAAATACTCACACACCTTCCAGACGGGGTTTTATTAGAATTCACAGCAGCAGAGGGTGAAAGGCACATACACTGACCCAGACCGGCCTGTGGGAGCTGCTTAAGCAGAGAAGCTCCTGGTGGACTCACCGCTGAGGGCAGAAGGAGGCGGAGTCTTCTGTGTTAGGGCCCTGAGTTGAAGCCTACAGCCTCAGAATCAAAGTACCTGTTGTGTAGCACAGCACAGGGGCATTCATTCCTGTCTCAAAAGCTCAGTTTGCCAGACCCACCACTGACAAGTGAACTTCAGAGAAACACTTTTCCTCCAATAACTTCACCGGTCTGCCTCACTCCTGCTCCTGCTGCGGGCGGAGCTTAATTTGTCAGCAGTCTGCCGCTGGCTGTGAAAAGCGCCCTCTAACCCCTCCTGCAAGGCTTTCGTGAAAAGCCTGCAAGCAGAGGTGCGTGAAGCAGGGTTAGTAAAGCACCAGTTTGCTTGCAAAGCCTAACTTTGGGCTCTGTTCCTTCAAGAAGTAGGCAGGACTCCCATGCTAGACTAGGGGACCCCCCACTGGCTGGGGGGGAGCCTCCGTAGCACAGTGGTCTACTGAAGTGGGTGGGATGTGAAGCATCTGGATCCTCCACGGGACCAAGGTTAGATTCTGGGATTGTTTGGTTTCCTTTGTTGGGGGCGGGGGTGGGGATCGAACTCACAACCTCCCGTTTACCAGGCAAGCGCTTGAACGCTGCGCAAAAGCCCAGCTCTGTTGTTGTTTGTTTTGTTTGTACCGGGGTCGAACTCACAACCTCACGCTTGCCAGGCAGGCACTTGTGCCGCTGAGCTAAGCCCCTAGCAGGGGTGTTTTGGTTTCTTTACACCCTCAGCGTCTACACAGTCCCGAAGTGGTTAAGAATGGATGAGAATGGCTTTGGTCAGCGGAAGCGAAATCTGCTGTGGAAGAGTCAAGTTTTTCCCACCTTTTCTGGAAGCAAAACCTCGGTAGCCAAACCGCTCTCTGCCGCCCTCTACCGGCGCCGACGGAGCGCGGCAGCCGCGCGTCGGAAGGGAAGCGCTGAGTTTCGAGAGCGCAGGCGCAAGTGCAAGCCGGCCTTCCGCGCCACTCTGCACCTGCGCACCCGGTGCAGGCTGCTCAAGGGTCAGAAGCCGTTATTAAACCCGCTGGAGGGGGCAGGTGGCCGCGGATAGGCCCGGAGAGAAGCTGCTGGGAGTTTGTGCCCTGTAGGTTCGGGGACCCTGGGGTCTGCTCCCCCTGGGCCACTTTGATGAGCTCGGAAATGGGGGCGTTACTTGAGCCCGCCTCCCAGGGCTGCGAGTGGAGGAGGGTGGGGATCACCGAAGCGTGTTGTTAATTTGTTGCGTGTTTATCCGGGAAGGTTTTCTGAAGGAGAGCAGAGTTTGCAAATAGTGGAGAAGAAGGGAGAGGCTAGACGAGATGGGACCCGGGGAACCCGAGTTCCAGGGGTGGGAGGAACCGGGCAGCCTGGCAGACGGCAGACTCCATTCCTACTGCTGTTTGTAAGGCAAAGAAGGGCGGGGAGCCTGGGTACAAAATGAGGCTCCCCACTGGAATTGTATAAGTGTTGGGACCACACTCAGGACGGCAGTTTGTCATGTTTAATGTTTTCACTCGTGGTAGAAAGAAGCGATTTCTTCTGGCTTGGTCCCTGATGTGCACTCACCTGCCTCTCTCCATGTAGGACATGACACAAGTGGGACACTGTGGCCATGGGGTCTCAGCATTCTGCCTCTGCTCGCCTTCCCTCCTCCAAGCGAAAGAAAGATGACAGGGAGGCTTTCCTGGCTGATCCTGAGCAAGAAGAAGCCATCGCCCAGTTTCCATATGTGGAGTTCACGGGGAGAGATAGCATCACCTGTCTCACCTGCCAGGGGACAGGCTACATCCCAACAGGTGAGAATCTGATGTTGAGAGAAGAGATGCCTTGCCCACAAAACTTCCACGCTCCCCACAGAGGTGTTTGTGTCTGCCCAACAGCGTTCTTCTAGGCAGCAGTGTCTTGATAGTCACAGACTGTCTGAATTGGAACCAGTTCTGCTGACCTGATCAACTTGGGCAAATTCCACTACTTTTCTTGATCCCTTTGTTTTTTCTTTGCTTCCACTTTTTCATTTTTATTTTCTCCTTCGTGTGGTTTTGGAGTTTTCATTTGCTCTTTGTTGTGGGATTTGTTGACAAGCCTGTGTCTTTATTGGTTTTGCTCATACAGATTGCAACAACTTTGTAGGGGGATCGTCTTGAATGCTTCATTACAAGAAAGAGAATGAATTATTAACCTGATGTTTTCAAATTACTTCAAGTGGGATAAATGGGCAAATGCACAGGAGTGGAGGCTGGATTGGGTACAGGATTGTCTAGTAACTGAACAGGCGCTCTGACAGTCTCAGGAGTTTAGATGGAGAGTCACAAGGTTTCATGCTGCCAAAAGCCTAAGACTCTGTTTACTGCAAACCCTGCTATTAAAGGTAAGGGAAAAGCGGCTTGGAGAGGTTTGATGACAGCCAAAGCCACAACAGAAAGCCAGAAGAAGATCCCAGATACCTCAACGTCCCCAGCACTGCCGTGGCAACTCCGATGGGTGTTTTATAACTTGCAGCATTCTGTATAGATGGATGTGTTTCTTTTTCACTGGACTTGTAACTTGAAAGTAGTATTCTTAAAAATGTGTAATCACAGAGGCGTAATTGCAATGGCGGGCTGCAGTGAGATGCAAAGAAAAGTACTATTAGGGGCTGGGGATTTAGCTCAGCGGCATAAGCGCCTGCCTTGCAAGCAGGCAGTCCTGAGTTCGATCCCTGGTACCGATAAAAACGAAAAAGACCAAAAAAAAGAACAGTACTATTAATATGTGGGCTTTACAGAATGAATGCTTGGTTCTTTTCTAGAGCAAGTCAATGAATTGGTAGCTTTGATCCCACACAGTGATCAGAGGTTGCGCCCTCAGAGAACGTGAGTTACCTGCCCCTCACTTGGCAATATCTATTCTTCTCCCTCACTTATAATATGGATGAATGCCAGTTAATTCTATGAAAACTATATCTGTTTTTGTAAACCCATTTCCTTTGTTAGAATTTTCTCAAGAGGGATATCTGTACTCCCTGTCACCATCCAGGGAGAGAAAATTTCGGTTTAATGTGTTCTGAGGGCTACATGGGGGATGGAATTGGAGGGACTGGAGAAGTCGGGTACCCTGGGAGGTGTGGAAATACCTTTGTCCACTTTGCTTCTCTCTTGGGTTTCCAGCAGTGTTCAGGTGGGTTGAGAAAAGTTTCTCCTACCTAATTCCTCCTGGGCTGGTCTCCTGGTTCTTTGTCCTTCCACCTCAGCTCGATCTGGCTTTGCATTTGATCTTGACTGGTTGGACTCTGATACTCACCTGCCTCATTTGTTGTGTGTGGGTTATTTGCAGTAAACAGTATGTCCTTCTGTCGGTCCTGCTGTGCCTCCTGGCATCTGGTTTGGTGGTTTTCTTCCTGTTTCCGCATTCAGTCCTTGTGAACGATGATGGCATCAAGGTGGTGAAAGTCACATTTAACAAGCGCGACTCCCTTGTCATCCTCGCCATCACGGTAAGGCTTGGCACCTCGCTTCCTGTATTGTGTACCTGCCAGTCTTGGACCCAGTGCACTTATGCTTGCTTCCTTCCCCCGATGCAGGCCACCCTGAAAATCCGGAACTCCAACTTCTACCCAGTTTCAGTGACCAGCCTGTCCAGCCAGGTTCAGTACATGAACACAGTGGTTGGCACATATATGACCACGAATGTCTCCCTCATTCTGCCGCGAAGCGAGCAGCAGGTATACTGTTCCTTCAGAGTCTCTGCAGCGCAGGAGGAGGGTGGGTGTAGTGGGAATGCAGCAGCGGGGTGTCTTTCCTGTGCCTTCTTGCTTTCACCTGGAGACACTAGTTGATGAGAGGACCCAATGGACTTGTGATTATGAATGATTGTAGAGAAGAAGGGGAAATGTCTAACATTTAAGTATTCAGACAAAAGCATTTGTAAGAGAAAGAGACTCTCCACAAATCTCAAAGAGACAGTATTATAGTCTGAGGTCCACTGGCCCCAAAAGAGGAGAGGTCAGAGGTATTTTTTAGGGGCTTGTAGACTGTGTCAAGGACAGTCCTGGGGACATGCTTTGTATGTGATGGAAGAATGGCCAAGGGACTGTGGGCTGCTGAGAAGAGTGCTGTTCTATCTATCTTCCTTGGCTATGGGTTGATTTTTGCTGTCTTTACAGGTGAATTTTACGGCAAAGGCTGAGATGGGAGGACCGTATTCCTATGTGTAGTAAGCACACTGTTCTCTGTTTGTGCGCTTTCCTCCAGAAAAAGGGATTCAGCGTGATGCTCAGTTGACTAGAGCCTGTCCCTGCCTGAAGCCCCAGCCTTGGCCTGTGGTCTTAGCTTTAACCATATTTATGTTTGTTTGAAGAACTCACTTGATGTGTGACTTAAGTGCTTGAATTTCTAAGAGAGAGCGTTAAGTACTAGAAATATTGCCAGGCTCCAGGGTTTCTGTGATAGGCTTGACAAGACAGAAAATGGTGTCACTGAAAAAAGATGAGACCAATACTCATAGTGGCCCCAAATTAGTGGCCTTGCACACCCAGGTTGGAAGAGTGGGTGTGGGTGAGATAAGGCACCCCAAATAATTTGACAGTGTAACTCAGCTCTTCCCTACTGGTTCTTCTGGGGGTTTTGTTTTGTTTTGTTGTATACTAACCTAACCATTTCTGTGTTTGCTGTCTGTAGCTTCTTCTGCACAGTGCCTCATATTCTGGTGCACAACATAGTGATCTTCATGCGGTATGTCGCTCGATTCCCTGTCTCATGGCCTTTGCGATTGAGCCTAGACCCACAGGTTCTGAGAACTTGCACATATCTGTCAGAGGCATGTAGCCAAAGAGGGGCCCCATGCCTCATGACAGATGCAAGACACCCTTGGCGTTCTCTTGATGTGGCAGCCAGACCCCCTGCAAAAGTCACAGTGAACTGTGGCACACAGTGAACAGCAGAACATGTGATTTTTCTCCATGAAATGGGATCTAGTTTAATTAAATGCATGCATTCCATTTAGAACCCTAATGAGATCATTGAAGACCAGAAAACTTTTCTCCAGGTGTAAGTATAGACATGTGACCACCCTTACTCTGCATCCACCTGTATCACCATATGTCATGGACCTTGAGGATTGTGTTGGACTGTGGCCATTCTGTTTGTAGGTGACAGGCTCTGCTGTGCAGACATTTGAAGTATGAGGATGAAAGTAAGGTTTCTCAACCTTAGCACAGTAGACATTTGGACCAGAGAGTTCTGTTGTAGAAGGCTTGTCCTGTACTGTGTAGGACTTTAGCAGCATCCCTGGTCTTTACCAGCTAGGTACTATTAACACACACACACACACACACACACACACACACACACACACACCATTTGTAACAACCCAAAATGTCTCTAGACAACACCAAAGTTCCTGTGAAAAAATCACCCTTGATTAATAACAACTTATTTAGAAGGTCACCTCATGACATAGCATCTTTGGGCCTGGAAAGATCCTCTGGTATCCTGGTTATATGATCATGAAGATTTGTGCCTGTGGCCCATGGTACTGTTGCCTGAACTTGCAAGAAATTAGGCAGTTTTTCTTGCTGATTTCATCTCTTCTTGGATTTCCTCTCCATAGAACTTCAGTGAAGATTTCATACATTGGCCTCACGACCCAGAGCTCCTTGGAGACACATCACTACGTGGACTGTGGCGCAAATTCTACAACTGTTTAGCACCTGCTCTTGGTTCTCCACAGCTGCACCTGTAGAAGAGAGCCCAGCATCTGTTTCCAGGCCCAGAGTTCCCCCGCTGACCCCAGGTTGTTAAAGCAGAGGAGGAATTGGCTCTGTTAGCCCCCAACAAACACCTTCCTACCACTTAGGAAAACAATCCCTACAGCACCGTGTGTTTCCCAGAGCCAGCAGAATCACTGCCCAGTGCCTACCCTGTGCCCAGCAAATATTTGGCATGTGATATGGGTTTGAAGAACTTAATTCAGCGGTTCTTAAGGCCTGATAAGGTTAACCCATACCATGGGTCTAAGTTATCATAGAACAATGTAGAGATAGCACTGTTCGTGCAGCTGCAGCTGTCAGTGCCTCATGGGCGCAGAAGTGGCAGCAGGGAGGGATCCCAGGAACCCCTAAAAGCACAGACCCACTTGACATGTATTTGTTTCATCTGTTCCCAGACGTCTTAAGAGCTTTTAAAAAAAGACAAGGATTTTTTTTTTTTTTTTGGTGGTGATGGTGGGGAGCCCTGTAGAAAATTACAGTTGTTTCTACCAAGAATCTTTGTGAGTCTTGATTTACCCTTCTCCATTGGCTGGAACATGGATTAGGGATTTCATAGAAAAATAAATAAATCCTGCTTTTGATTTATCTGTCTCCTTTGATTGCCTGGGAGAACCACAGAATAGTTTCTGGCCAGGTGTGTCAGCACAGGATGCACTATGAGAAAGAAAAAGGGATCCCCCGACTGGTCTCTGTCCCTGTGAGGGCTTGTCACAGCAAACTGTCCCACTTTCTGCCTGCTTCGGAGACCTGGCTGTCCTGTCACTCTTCCACAACAGAGGACACAGCGCCCCCTGGAGGTTGGAGGTAGCAGGGCAAACACTATCCCTAACACCTAAACCCTAACACTAACCATAAACCTAACCCTAAAACTTACCCTAAATCTAAGCCTAACACTAAACCAACTTCTAACCCTAACCCTAAACCTAAGCTTTAACCCTAACCCTAACCCTAACCCTAACCCTAACCTCAAAGCCTAACCCCAAAGCTGCCTGCAGGGAGGTGCTGCTTCCCAAATCCTGCTCCCCTCACCTGGCTGTAGTCCTCAATAAGACACTGTGTGAGTTTCAGTTTCCTCACCTGTCCATATTTGCTCAGTCATGGCTAGCTGTAGTGGCATGATGGTGGAGATTGGTGACCCAGGAGCTCAGCCAGGGTCAGCTCCCCACCCTCCCAACACTGCAGGCTGCAAGTGGCTTCAGGAAATCCTGAGGTCTCAGGAAATCCTCTGAGATTTCTTGGAGCAGCAGCTGGTTACGGGTTGTATATGAGCTTTCTTTCCCCTTTAGTTTAATTTTCAGTATTTTCTTTATTATCTTTCCACTCTTGAATCTTCCCACTAAAGCTAAATTTCCTATTTGGCTGATACTATGATTATGGCAAAAACAGGAAAAAGCAGATATCTGAGTGCTGGGGTTTCAGTGTTGCAGGGCCACGTGATGTGTATGCTCAAGGATATGACAGTGACGGTGACGGTGCTGATGAAGGACTTTGGTGACTTGCACCCGAAACACGTACACACATGACTGTATTTTCTCTATAGTTTTCCCAGTTTCCCAATGGTCTCTACCCTATTTTCCATGTAATTTTCAAAAAATTACTTGTATTGATACCTCAGTTTTGCATCATTTTTTGTGACCATGTGCTTCAGTAATATTTCTCCTGATACCACTTTATAAAATGTGAATTTTAAACATGAATCAATAAATGTGGTCTCAGTGTTATCAAGTCTCATAACTAGTTATATTCCTGGTAAACTGCACTTCGAGGTGCTCTGCATAGTTTTATCGTGGCAGCTGTCAGTTCTTGAACGACTGTCTACAATTTCCTTGCAGCAACCCCAAGTTAGAAGGGTGAGTGGCCAAGCATGGTGGTGTAATCCCAGAACTCAGGAGGCTGAGGCAGGAGGATCACTGTGAGTTGAAGATCAGCCTGGGCTATACAGTGAATTCAAACACAGCTTCACCTATGTAATAAGAATTTGTCTCAAAAAAAAATTGCAGAATATTTCTTGGAGGTAAGGCCCTTCCAGCAATGCCTTCTCTGTTGTAAAATCTTAGTCTGCAGTGTGATCTTTTTTTTTTAATCTCAAACTACTTTGCCAAAGATTTGTAGCATACAGAGATCTCTACGTATTTATATACTTACTTATTCCATGAAAGGATTCACTGAGCATCTGGCATGTGCCAAGGATTGCAATTCCTAATGCATTGTGTCCAGAAACTCAGCTAGAAGTTTGTGACTTCATCAAAGCTTTCACACTGGCTAGGCTACCTACAGCCAGCAATTTACTCCTACTGACTGTTTTGGAGCCCTAGTTGCCCCACAGCACAACTCCCAAGATCTCTGGGTTCACTATGTCAGGGATTCAAACACAAAGTATGGAACAAATTATTTAAAAAGCCTATTTGTTAAAAGCCTTGTGTAAATCATTCAGCTGGGGTCCCAGATGTTTTTGGTATTAGGCAAAGTAACCATTCTTTCCTCTTTCAGTAAAATTCTTCATTATTTTATCATTACTCCTCTATGATTCTGTGTTCCTTACCTCATTTAGAAAGAAACACTATGGGCTTGGGGATTTAGCTCAGCGGCATAAGCGCCTGCCTTGCAAGCAGGCAGTCGTGAGTTCGATCCCCGGTATCGATAAAAAGGAAAAAGCCAAAAAAAAAAAAAAAAAAAAAAAGAAAGAAAGAAAGAAACACTAGGTCAGGTGTGGTGGTACACACCTGCAATCCCAACAGTCTAGGAGGCTGAGGCAGAAGGAATGCAAGTTTAAGCCCAGCCTAGGCAACTTCATGAGACTGTGTTGCAAAATAAAAATTTTAAAAGGGCTGGGGATGTAGTTCAGTACAGTGGTGCTACATGTAACGCCCAGAACCTCAAACAAACAAACAGGAGCACTGTGTTAGAAATTGTTCCATGGTTTACCCAGGACTCAAGGGGGTTGAGACTAATTCTTAGCATGTGCTCAGTGTGCCGAATCCCAACCCAAAGACTTTTGGTGCCACCATCATATAGAGGGCAGGAAGCTCAAGACAGGAACAGTGACCTGACCAAGCCCTCACAGTTAGTGAGCCAGCTCTGTCCTCACTTCCTGCCTCCACCACCCTCCCTTGTCTGATGAGCGCTGTGGTTGAAGAGACCTTCTTTGGCCTTTGCTGGGACCTCAGGGATGGGGAATTAGCAGGGAGCCTGGCATTCAGGCAGGAGCAGAGTGCACAAGACTGCCAGTGCGACTACAGCAGTGTGATTGGCCTTGAATATCGATGCAGGCAGACCCAGGACCTCCCATTCCACCACCACCACCACCACCACCACCACCACCACCACCCAACCCCTACCACCACCCTGCCCTCAACCCCAGCCCTAGCCCTTTGTGGTCCTCCTGCTCTGGGTCATCCTGAGTCCCTGTGGAGCAGCTGCTTCTGTCTCCAGGTTTTACTAGGGGCCCAGAAGAGGGTGGGTTGCCTGGAATCACCTGGATCCCCATGGATTTCTCTTTTAGAATTCTAAGCTCTGGCCACAATCTACTAAACTACTTTATTTCAAACGGGCAGGGTAAGCAAGGAGCAGAATGAGGCCAGAGGGTTAGAATCAGCTCAGTTCCACAGCTCCCAAAGTGTGGGGTCCCTACGCATCTCCACCTCTCCTGATCTCTCCTGGCCCTCAGTCTCTTGGCAGATGGAGGCCTTGTTTGTTTTTATTTATGAGCTAGCTATTCTTTGTTTTTAACTGTTGTGTAATTTTACTCCTTTATTTTGCCCCAAGTTAGTCCTGGTAAGGCACACTTTGTTCAACTGAGTTTACATGAGTTGAGTATCAATGTAAACAAATCCAATAGAGTGTTTTATTTATATTTCTTTAATACAGAAACTTTCAACCTTAATCTAGCAGAAGGGGGCCTGGATGGAAGGAGGAGGCCGAGAAAGCTATGGCTCTTTGGTTTATCTGTGTTATGAAATACTGCCCGCATGATTCCGATGGCTTTCCGGACTCATGTCACATCACGTGTCATCACCACCATGGCCCTCTAGTGGGAAAGGGGACAACTTGCTCATTTGTGCCACATGTACCCAAAGTATCGGTGGGGACACCTGGTGGTAAGGAAAAGGAAAGCTGCCCGTTTCTAAGTCTGGTATTCAGAAGAGGTCTGTGGCAGGTTTAGTTCTGCCCTCCACCTCACCTTTCCTCAAGAGTGTCTCCATGTTTGTGGCCCAGCAGGCTACGACCCACCTCTGGTCTTGCCTCCAAGCCTGCAGGCTCTCCTGCCTCTTGCACTATTCTGTTCTGGAGCTGAGATCAGTATCAAGTGTGCCTCCCTTCCCAAATTCTAGTACTCTAGTTTGAATATGGATAGTGTCTCTCAAAGGCCATGTGTTAAAGGCTCAGTACCCAGGGAGGCGAGGCCTTTTGGGATCACTGGGACTGTGCTCTCAGAGGTGAGAGTGGGACCCCAAGGAACCCTGGTCTCCTGTCACTCCTGCTTCCTGGCTCATGATGTGAGATTGTATCCCTCTGTGCCTGCCGTGATGTGCTGCCTTCACCTCAGGGCTGCCTAAGCTTGGACTTAAGTCCCCAGTACTGTGAGCCGAAGTAAACGTTCTTTACTTCAGAGTAACCTGTGCCAGGTCCTTCACTGTAGCCACATGAACCTGGTCCCAGCTCACCACTCGCTTCCATGCATTGTCAAGGGTTACAAAAGTGCTAAGTCTGTAAGTGTGTGAGGTCACTAAAGTGTGACTTCCACTTCCTCACTTGTGGTTGAAAGGTCACCAGAAAAAGGCCCTCGGACCACATTTGAATATTTCTATAAAATCAAATACTTACACAGAAGACACAAGAACAAAACACAAGTCAGTATGTACTTTCCAATAATTTTTTTTTGTTTTTAATATCAATTGATGTTTTAAAAAATACAGAGGTGTTTGACACAGAATAGCACCATTGTGTAGGACACATAGTTCCTGCGCCCGGCATCTGAGGGGTCTTTTTGGCCTGGGCTGGGGGCAGTCACTCAGGGGGCGTTTGACTCATTCCAGTTAGTTTCCTGCCTCTGCCTTGACCCAAAGGTCTTACAGGAAGACAATAAATAAATAGAACATTGAGATTTTATTTTGCAGTCTACCCAGTTCAGGTCTCTTAGAAAGAGAAGGGAGAACAGTCCAAACTGTGAGTGGGTGGGATGAATGACATCAGGTCAGGTCAGCCATTCAGTGCAGAATCCTAGAGTGACTGGGATTGGAAAGTACTTGGGTCCTTTGGGTGTGTAATCGCTTGTGTTGTTTCTGGGTTCAGGTTTTTACAAGAAGCAGACAGGCCCTAAGTCCACACCAAATTCCTGCTCGGGCCCTCCTATGTCCATAGGTGCAATGTCAATGATGGGGAGGCGCGAGGTCTTCTGTGACCGGTATTCGATGACAGTCTTGCCCCACTTACCAGTGTGTTTCTAAGGAGAAAGAGAGGAGATGCTATTCAGTAGATGCCTTGAAACCCAGAATCAGCTGCCCAGGACTCCAAAACCGAGCAACCACAAATTGTTAACCACATTTGACAACTGTTCCAGACTTTATCTCCACTTGCCCAA